GTAGACCTGCACAAGACTGGAATGGGTTACAAGACGATCAGCAACAAGCTTGGTGAGAAGAAGACAACTATTGGAGCGATAATTCGCAAATGGAAGAAACACAAAATAACCATCAACCGCCCTTTGTTGGAGTTCCATGCAAGGTTTCCCCTCATGATCTAAGGATAATCATGAGAAATGTGAGGGATGAGCCCAGAACTACACAGGAGGAGCTTGTGAATGATCTCAAGGCAGCTGGGGCCACAGTCACCAAAAAAACACCTATAACACAATATGCCACCATGGATTGAATCCTGCAGCGCCTGCAAGGTCCCCCTCAAGAAGGCACATGTACAGGCCCATCTGAAGTTTGCTAGTGAACATCTGAATGATTCAGGGAAGAATTGGGAGAAAGTGGTGTGGTCAGATGAGACCAAAATTGAGCTCTTTGGCATTAACTAGACTTGCCGTGTTTAGAGGAAGAAAAATGCTGACTATGACTCTAAGAACACCATCCCTACAGTCAAGCATGGAGGTTGAAACATTATGCTTTGGGGCTGTTTCTCTGATAAAAGTACAAGTGCAACTTTGCCGCATTGAGGGGCGAATGGATGGGGCCATGTACTGTAAAATCTTGGATGAGAACCTTCTTCCTTCAGACAGAACATTGACGATGGGTCGAGAATGGGTCTTCCAGCATGACAATGACCCAAATCATACCACCAAGGCAACAAAAGAGTGGCTCAAGAAGAAACACGTTAGGGTCATAGAGTGGCCTAGCCAGTCTGCAGACCTTAATCCTATAGAAAATGTATGGAGGGAGCTGAAACTTTGAGTTGCCAAGCGACAGCCAAGAAACCTTAAGGATTTGGAAAAGATCTGTAAAGAAGAGTGGATCAAAATCTCTCCTGAGATGTGCGAAAACCTGGTAACCAACTAGAAAAGAACTAAAAAACATCTTATCTGTGCTTGCCAACAAGGGTTTCACCTCCAAGTAATAAGTTATGTATAGCTTGGGGATCAAATATTTATTTTACTTACTGAACTGCAACTCAATTTATACCATTTGTATCATGTGTTTTTCTGGATTTTTGGTTGACATTCTGTCTCTATCATTTAAAATACACCTATGATAAAAATTATAGACCTTTAATTTCTTTGTAAGTGGGCAAACTTACAAAATCTGCAGAGGATCAAATAATTATTTTACCCACTGTATATATCGCAATGACACAAGTGACATTATCAGGCAACAGATTAACTTTTAGGAACTCATTACCCATCTCATGGTGACAAGCATCAGACTGGCCCAATACCAGTGCAACAGTGTGTATACTGTAAGCTTCATTACATACACAAGAGTTTGCCAATATGTGAATTCCTGTAAACTTTTTAGTACATTGTATGAGCTGGACAATGTTCTTCGCTCGTGGCCGGAAATTGATAAAATATTTTTATATAAATACTTTTATATGCTTAAAGGGGAATGCTGTGGACTTTGATGTAAAGTGGAACACTGCGGACTGTGATGTAAAGGGGAACTCTGATGTAAGGGGGTGTCTGGTCACCAGAGCCCCCCCTTACAAAAGAGTCCCCATAGTTCCCCTAACATCAGAGTCCTTGGAGTTCTCCATGACTGCGGTGATGATTCAAGAGGTATCTGGTCATCAGAGCCCCCCTTACACAAGAGTCCCCATAGTTCCCCTTACATCAGAGTCCTTGGAGTTCTCCATGACTGATTTAATGATACGAGAGGTATCCATAGATAGTGAACATGATGCAAGAGATGGTTAGAGACTGCAGGCATGACACTAGAGATGGTTAGAGACTGTGTACATGGCACAGGAAATGGTCAGAACCTGCAGACATGGCACAAGAGATGTTCAGAGACTGCAGACATGGCACCAGAGATGATCAGAGACTGCAGGCATGGCACAAGAGATGGTCAGAGACTTTGTACATGATGAAAGAGATGGTCACAGACTGCTGACATGGCACAAGAGATGGTCAGAGTCTGCGGACAGACATGATTCAAAAGATAGTCAAAGACTGAAAACATGGCACAAAAAATGGTCAGAGACTGCAGAGAGTCTGCAGGCATGATACTAGAGATGGTCAGAGACTGCGGACATGGCACAAGAGATGGTTAAAGATTGCAGAAATGATAGTAAAGATGGTCAGAAACTGCGAACATGGCACAAGTGATGGTTAGAGACTACATGATACTAGAGATGGTCAGAGACTGGTTTAGCAGACTTGCCTGGTTTACTCACTGTGTTTGTGTCCCTCTTCTCAGCATGGTGTGTGTCCTCAATGGCAATGCAGAGTCAGTACAATGTCTTTCTGCTTCAGTGTCATCTTGTCAGGCTGGTGGGAGGAGATTGCACCGGAGGGAACAGCGAGACTGTTAGCAGCTATTGGCAGAAGATGGAGTAGTGGATCCAAGCAGTATTGTAGCCGGGGAGAGGAGCAGCTGTGGAACGGGAGCTCCAGTGAAGTAAATTCTCTCATACCATGCTTGGCCATGCTCCCTCCAGTCCTTCTTAGTTTTTTTTAAAAGGCACCAAACAGAGCCATGACAACACTGGCTGCGTGCTCCAGCCACCCCCCTAGACATACATTTGGTAACCTTGCGCCAGACCCGATACGTGTGTATCATGGGCTGTCCCACCCTGATGGCAGCCCTGCAGATGGATGCCCCTCTAGGAAGGGCCTACAGGGCCTATTGGGAAATCCTGTCCTGTCTCCACTGTGTTTCTCTAACACTTTTTGGATTGTGATTCAATTCCTGGATTATGTTTGTGAAGAAGATGTTTCAGTAGCAGAGATGTGATCAGAAAATTCTATTAATCATATATACGTCAATGGTACAGCTGTGCACATTTGAGATCGCTTTAGGACAGGTGCCCAAATAACTGGTCAGTCTACCCATATAATTCAGTAACATGTTAATTTTGCTGCACAAGACATTCAATGAGGATATCATTTGTAACGTCCTCCAGGTTTGTTAGGTAGCTGAGTAGCAGCCTGGGGGATGAGGTAGTGAAGTTTCCTCAGGACAGGCAGGGAGGCTCTATCAGGTCAGGGCTTCTGGAGCCCTCCCACCTTTCTAGAAACCTGAGAGCTTTCTGGAAGAGGGGTGGAGGAAGGAAGGAGGCCCAGATTTGCATGTTTGAGGGACTCTGGCCAATCCCCTGGCAGGAGGCTGGGCATGGTGACCAGGGCAACTCTCAAATGTGACAGAGCATGGGGGGAGGTGCCCAGTGTTGGGTAGAAGATGGATTGAGGAAGGCTGGTGTGAGGAGCCTGGGAGGGAACACCAGGGAGAGGAGCCCACATACAGGCAGGTTACTGGAAAACAGGATCTCCACTGCCTCAATGTCTCCTGGGAGGACAGCCTGTGAAGCAGGGAAGGAGCCAGCCCAGCGTAAGGCCTGAAGGCAGCCACCATCCCACTGAGCTAACAGTAGAGGACAGAGTGAACACTTTTACACCCCCTGGGCCAGATAAGGAGAGAGGGCAGTTAGGTGCAACACCCAACTACCTTCTCATCTCGAACTGTTCCAAATTGACAGCTCTTGGGCCTCCTTACCCAGAGATACTCTTAGGCTGCCGGATGAAGAGGAGGAATCATCCAGGGCTTGAGGAGGTACACCAGAACTTTTTTAGTGCTCTTTCAAGAGAGACTGTTACTAATTCGCATTTTTGTACATAGTTACTAAGGAGTTATCCTCAGGTTGTACAGTTCCCTGGGCATCCCATATACATCTAGACCCTATCCAAGTTTGACCCCTTTATAAAATCATAAAACCAAGCTCGAGGACTGTTTACTGACTCCAGTGTACAAAGTGTGGGAAATGCTTGTTGCCTGGCTGTGCAAAGCTTAGGGGGACCCAATAAAATCCAGCAGCCCTTATGAGGGTAGTGCTATACATATATTAGTCAGTGGTACAGTTGTGAACATCAGAGACTGCTTGGTGCTCAAATAAATCATCAATCCACCCAAAAGGAATCAGAAATGTATTGATGTGAGTAAGTAGAAACCCTCTCAATGACTGTAGGAAAATCCTTCTGGCAACATAATTGGCTCTGCCTCAGATTGCTTGAAAAGCAAAATAATTGAGTAAGTAACTGCTGCATACTTCCTATACCAATGTAGTGAAAAATCCAGCAGCAAACAAGAGACTCCCTGTAATGTTCATAAAAGTCTCCAGCACCTACCCAAAAATAAAACACTAGTTTTGATCATAGTTAAATAGTCTGTGACCTGAGTGCTAGTAGACCATGGGTTCTCCAGTATCTCCAACTGTTTTCTATGGATGTTCTGAAACTTCTGAATTTCTGTTACTTGCCTCTATATTATTTACATTATAAAGGTACTCCCTTTTATCCCTCTCACATGAGTCATTTTCAAAATTCTATGGACAGGTTAATGTCCTACTACAACAAAGAAGCACACAAAGAAGCCTAAAGTGAGTGGGAGAAAGCCACACAAACTCAATGTAGAGAGCATCTCTAGGACCTCTTTATAGGCATGCTAATCATGTGTGGCTAAAGCACTCCTATGTTGGGTCTAAGTGCAACAAAATGGTGTACTAATACTGCCATGAGTTATACAATGGTATCTTAGCTGGATTCAACTTCTGTTTGTGGAATAAGATGTAATAAGATAGCTATATCTCTCTGAATAAAGAAATAAAATCTATAAAGGCCATTAGGACTGTCAAGTGTACTATGAAGAACACATAACAGTGTTGATCAATGTAATGAAATGATAACCTGTAGAAATGCTTTAATTATGGTTTTATATGTTGTAATAAAGCATGTCATTTTATTTCTGAGAACTTGACTAACAGTGTGATATCAGTAAATAATTGCTACATAATTTATTCACTCTGATGTAGTGACAGCTATAAAGGATACATAATGCTTGGTTTTTTTTTTTTTGTTTTTGTTACCTTTGTGGCAAGTCTGGCATACTCACAGTGAATATACCAAAACTCTATTACCTTAAAGTGTTACTAAACCACCAAAAGTAAAATCAGTCTACCGTATATATGCAATAACGCATGCTTGTTACAGTCACTGTGGAACTTAAGGGGTTAATCCTCTGCATTGTGTAAAAGGGATGTTTGATCCTATCGTCTCTGATCCTCCCCTTCTTCCACTGTCCCCGGCTCATCTCCTGATAGAACTGAGCCTTAAGGGCAAGCTGCACATGCTCAGTTTGGTGGGTGTTGCTAGAGAGGTTTTTTTTTTTCTTGGGAGAGTGCATGTGATCAACACAGAGCCAATCAGCACTGTCCAGACAGAGGGTCAGGGTTTATACAGTCTCATAGGACAGTGAGAGGAGAATTAAAAATCCTCCTACAAGCTTTAACCAGTGCATACAAGTGATAGAAGTCACAAGATTGCTATATACTGCTGATGGGAAAAGGATATTTAGCAGTTTATATTTACTAAAATAATTGCATTTCCATGTTCTGTGTACTGTGGGAGACCAGATAGAGTGAATGCAGGGTCCTGGGTTTAGTAACACTTTAAAGCGGAGCTCCACCCAAAAGGGTAAGTTCCACTTTAAGGACTGCTCCCCCACTCCCCCACTCCCCATTAAGGATTGGCACCTTTGGGGGTCGGGATGGGAGCAGGCACCCGTATTTGACAGGCACCCGCTCCCACTTCCGGTCCAATCGCCAAGGCGATCAGAAACGGAAGGTGTCCTCCCTCCCTCTCTTCCTGCAGTCTTTTGGGACACGTGACAGGTCCCAGAAGACTACAGGACCATTTAGGAAGCGAAGCGCTACTCGCGCATGCGCAGAGGGTACCCGGCCATGAAGCTGCAAGCTATCACAGCTGGGTGTCCACACTGAAGATGCCGGCCTCCTGGAATCCAGGACTGAAGGTGAAACCGGCACACCACGGGACCGAGGGACAGGTTAGTGGCTGTTTTTTTCTTAGTTTAGTGAATGTGGTGAAAATACAGTTTCCAAAAATACCCAATCAAGTGCAAAATTTAAAAAAATAATAATATTTTTGCTTGAACATGATTGGATGATGGACGTCAGAGCGGCTTCCACTTATTCACTTACCTAAGGGTACATTCCCTTGAAAATTGAACAGCCTGTTTGCCTTTAGTAAATCCTACCCTACCCTGAGCATTTTGCTTCATTTTTTATAACAGAGAACAAAGACTTTTTGACCCCTAAAGGGTTCTGTTCCATGCACTAATTAGGCTCAGTTCACGCTGCTGCGACCCCAAAGTCGTGTCACTTGCTTGTGACTTTTATGATTTAACATTGCAGTCTATGGAACTCAAGTCACACCAACATCACGGAAAAGTAGTGCAGGAACCTTTTTATGGCTGCCGCTTGAGTTGCATTGATTAAGATGGCACCCACTGAAATGTGTTTTGACTTGTCGTGTGACTTTATGTATCGCAAATCCCATGATAAGTTGCAGCAATGTACACCAGGGTTTAGTCTTTTGCCCTTTGGACATAATTTTGGACATTTTTTGCCCTGATATAAAAAATGAAGCTAGTGACAGAACACAAACAAGATATGATTTGTCACTTGTTACTAAGCAATTATCAGACTTAAACATTTCTCTCTGCTTGCATCATACAACGGAATGTTTGTCATAATTCTCTGGTTCTTCATAAGCAGCACCTACGTCAACTATATTAGGAACATTTCCTGATATAGAAGAATACATGACTAAAAGCTTTTTCACAACAGATATTTTCAGCACAGGCAAAATGAGTGGACATAAGCAATTGCACTGATTTCAGTAATACCTTCTAAATTCCTTCTAATGTGAAACTCAGCAAGTTGGAAAATTTGGAATGTTATCATTCAAGCCAACAGAAGTTGGGTTCTTCAATGATGCAACACAAGAATTGCACGTCAGTCTGCAGTCATAAAACAGGACTATAATGGTTTGGGGGTCACATTTAAAGCGGAACTTCACTCACTTAATCAACAGTGACTTTTTAAAATCCTTATGCTGCTAGCATTAGTAAAATTTTAGGAAAGTACCATATTTACTTGTTTTAAACATTTTTTTCACATTTCCTAAGTTACTTTCATTGGTTTTCATGCCTAAGCACATGCCATTATACATCCCGGGTGCCTTAAGAAGGGGAGGAGGGTTTTTTAAGCTAAGCACACCCTCTTGCCTGTCTGAACTAAGGGCAGATGGATTCAAGGAAGTAAATGCTATATGAATCATCTGCCCTTACTCAAGATGGCCATAGCCTTAAATGCTAGGGGGTGTTTTTCAAAGTGATTTCTCAACAAAACAAAGCATGGAGACATGGATGGATGGGGGAGTTTGCTTTGAATATTAAGAATGAATTAAATAGTGTTTTTGGCTTGTGTTGATCAGATGCAGTGTAGTTCTGCTTTAACCTCCCTGGCGGTATTCCCGAGTGTAGCTCGGGGTAAAGTTTCAGTACCAAAAGCGGTAACCCCGAGCTACACTCGGGCTTACCATGCGGCGCTGCTCCACGATCCCTCGATCACTTACCTTGTCTTGCGCTCCCGCGATGTCCCTCTTGCAGTGTCCCCGGCAATGTAATCCGGCGGATGCCAGCATCTGTCGTCTGGGTTCCGTCCCCTGCGAGCGCCGGGACGTACGGGGGATGGAAATTTGAAAATGACAAAAATTGACATTCACTAAAATCACATAGTAAAACATTACTGTATCAAACCATTTCACATACATTTTGTCCCTAGTGCTTTGTCCTGTGCCCTGCCTGCATTTTTACTGTTCTTTCTGCCTGGAAACTGAGAAAAGTCCATGGCATCCAAAAAGCATCCCTTTAGGTCAAAAGCGGTTTTAGACCTGCCAGAGAACAGCTATAGTAAATTAGAACCACTTGCAGAATTGAGTGATAATGATTCGTGGGGAAATTCGTCATCAGACACTGAAAACGATTTTGCGACTTTGCTCAGTGATGTGCGAACTTGCGCTATTTTTCAAATTTCAGTGTTTTTGGTTTGATTATATTATTGAATTAAATTTATTATTATATTATTATTATTTTCTATGATTATTTATTAAATTATATTTTATGATTTCGTGTTTCCAGTTTTATCCTACCCGGGATGTTTACTAGACTCTTGTTCGGACAGTTTTCAGTGAGTTATTAAGAGAGGGAATTGGATCTGTGATGTCACCGGACCCATGACTTCTTGAATACAGGTATGTATAAATATTATTTCAATCAAAAAGGGTGTTGGGTGATTGGGAGGATTAGGGTCATCAATGGAATGAGGGTTTAACTTGATTTAGCTCCTCTGATCATTCATTTGTGACTCAGATTTTACTTTTTAGTACAGTACAGGAGAAATAAAGGGAGAATGTGACAGTTTTATTGTCCTATATATAAAGAATTGTTCTGCCACATTTATGTATGAGACTTCTTTGTGATTTGCACACTTATCCACTTACCTGTGATTGATCAATGCCATCAATTAATGTCAAATCCTTCAACAGCCACATGGCCTTTGATTCATATTTTAAAACCATTTTCTTCTCTGTAACAGTTAGCCAAGTCAGGCAGACATCATTTGTTGTAGACACTATGATACCAAATAATAAATATCACCTTCAAGTACAAAGAAAAAGCATTTAGCAGTGTGAACTTTACTGTTTTTCAAATGTAAATGTACACTCTTTCTACATAATCAGTCTAGTTATAAACAATTATGCTACAGATGGCAATGCCTTTCTTTATGGTGTTATCATGTGTAGTATTTTTGGGAATAGGAATTTTGTCAGGAAATTTACCCTTAAAACTTATGAGAAGGGAATAATGGGGGAGAGGGTTAGACCCTTTGTTGGGTTTTCACTGCTATCTAGGGCTCTGTTAGAGAGAATTCCTTCACTTCCTGTACTACTGACAATGCTTTACCAGGGAAGAAGTCAGGGGAACTCTCCAACACTGATACAGACAGAAATAAAACTTTTTTTTTCAGTACAACAGGGTGAGGCTTTTATTTCTGTTAAGCTTTTATTTCTGCTTGTGTCCCTGTTTTAGATTTTCCCCCACTTGTCAAGTGAAACCATTTTCAGTCAGAGGAAATCTGAATAGCAGTAAAAATGTAACAGGAACTCTAGTCTTTGTCTACTCCATCCAAAACTAAAAATGTTTTAAACTTGACATGTACTTTATATATATATATATATATATATATATATATAGCCATAATTTTCCTTTTTTTTTTTATTTTGAGTAAGGAATGTTTAAAATGCATGTCAGTTAATTTATTACTGTTTGTGTCCCATTGGGGAAATTTCTCTTAATTATTTTGTCCTAGAGACAAAACAGAAAGCGAGAGGTAATTGCTCCAAACTCAGGGGAATGCTCCTCTTAAACCAGAAGGTGTTACCATTTGAAGGCATAACTCTCATATTTAACATAAACTCAAGGTGATTTCTGCCATTCCTTTTTCTATCCTAACAGTGCCTGCCACAGAGGCTGTTGTAAGCTCTTTATCTCTCCTTTTTCCATGTCACAATCCCTAGATAGCAGCAGTAAAGTGCCTGCGCACAAATTAACCTTATACACTACATCTACCCGAATACAATGACATTACCCCTCCTTTCCTGACTGGCTGGACTCATTTTTGTCTTCTTATTGCCTGAGGTCATACAATATTTTTATAAAATTCTCATTCATGCTATGAAAGCTTCTCTAAGCAATGGGTGCTGAGGCTGCACGAATACAATAGCCAGCAGCACTATTTCTGCCTTTTTTATGTGGTTTAGGGTGGATGGAGGATAAATCAAGCATTCTCTCCATGTATGGCTAACTTTACAGTAAAAGAACTTTGTACAGTAAAGCAATAACACAGAATTACATAAGATTGTTCTGCCTGAATGCAAGACACGTAATTTCCTATTTATTTGTAAATTAACGGTTGTATCCCTGTGTGTTTTCATAATTATCTTGAATTTCCATGTAAATATATATAGTATTTAAATGTATGAACAAATCACCAATAAAGTTTTAACCCTTAATCAACCCCAAAAATATAATTAAATGAGATTTCAAGATAGGGATAGGCTTTTAAGATGGACAAAGCACTTGGTGGTATTATTCTTTAAGTCAGCACTCCTTAAAAAAGGTTAAAATAACTTACATTAACAGAAAATGTTTGATACAAAAACTGAATTGTTTTGGGTGAACTTAGCACCCAAATGCCCAAAATCAAATATTTGCTGTAAACTTCTCATTTATTCCACTGGGTGAACCAATCTGCTCTATGGTCTGAAAAAAGGGTTCTTTGAAGCCCTAAATAGTCCATGTGTTTTTTTCGTTCATAGGAAGCTTGTACATCAAAGAAGAGCTTGATTTCCTCATCCACTAAGGAAATGCTATACTTTGTAATCCTGGCAGCCTAATATAGGAGCAGGACTGGTATCTGCTCCTTTGTGCAAGGAGGAACAGGATGAGCACTGCCAGAGCCCTACAAAATGACCTCCAGCAGGCCACTGGTGTAAATGTCT